TATAGGAAGCTTTTCCCGAACCCAGCATAATATAAACCCTATTTAATTCCTTATATTAAATAGGGGAATTTGTCGGCCAATATATTGGTTCCGCAGATCAACCGGATGTCATGACTTTCTCTAGTTTATTTGATCGAGCCTCACCCTTCAATTCTTGTATTCATCCTTTGGGATAGATACAGAATTTGAGGTAAAGTGCTCTTCCATTTAAACTATGAAAATTATGGGGTCAGTTTGACTTCATCTTTTTCAAAACTAAATTTTTTTAACGTCCTTCCGAAGCGGGCAACGGAATTTCAATTCCGATGGCCGACAGCTTCTTACGGGCAAACTCCACACCAAAAATAGTGCCGACAGAACTGATAGGCAAATAATCCAAACTTAAGCTCGGAAAAATTTGATGACTGTATCAAGGCAACATATTTCTCATTGATACAAAGAGGGGTATTTAAACTCAATAAGGAAAGACATAAAAACATAATCAAAGAAATAAAAATAGAATAAATATAAAAAAAAATACATAATATAGAATAAGGGAAATTAATAAATAATAATGGCTATGAAACCTAATAAATCTAATACTCCCCTTCAAGTTGAAGCATAGATGTCAATCATGTTCAAATTGGATTTGAAGTCATCGAATAAAGGACGAGGAAGATAAAGGACGAGGAAGATTTTTTGTGAGGATTTTTGCTAGCTAACCACTGAAGGGCACAAAAGAAACATAAATCTCCCCGGACTCAATCTTTTCCTTAATGAAATGTTTGTCAATCTCCACATGTTTTGTAGATCGTATTAGACTGAATTGGTGGAGGATGCCCTTACTCACAAAGACTAGGATGATCCAAACGATAGTGCAACAACATAACTAGACATTAAATGACTTGAGATAAACTACAAATCTTGAAGGGTGTGTCCTCACTCTCTGTGCTCTTCTTAATAAAGTTCAGCTACCCACTTAGCAACTCTAATCATCCTCCCTGAACGATGATCCTTAAAAACACAACCATCATAAGAGAAATTAGCAATGCAATTAATATCATTCGTCAATTTGCTGACAGATAATAAGTTACCTTACAACAGAGGAACACGTAAAATAGACCCCAAAGTTAGACCAATTGTTAGTACAACCGACCATTTACTAACAATCGAACTACAAGAGGCATCAACAACATGGATAATAAGTTGAGAAAACTTGCGAGCATTTAGTCATGTGATCCATGACACCTGAATCAACAATTCATAGATCAGGGGAGGAAAAAACCGTCAGAGCCATAGAAAGAGTACCTGTCGGACGTGGGAGGTAGATACAATCGCTGAGAATTGATTGGCTCCAAGTAGCTTGATCAATTGTTCCATCTAGTTTTTCAGAGATTCAGAGGATTATGAGATGTTCCGGGTAGGACTTGGTTTAGCCATGATAGATTCAGACATTGCGGTGAGACCCTTGGTAGCAGAGGATTTGGATGAAAATTTGTTTATTGATTTAACGTGAAGCTTCCAACACTTGTCCCGAGTGTGGTTGGGTTTGTGACAATAACCATAAGTGGGGTGACCGACCCGAGGGGGCAATGGAAGAGGGCTGAGCACGATTCGAGATCAAGGTGGACAATTCGGCTGAAGGAGTTGAAGTGTCAAGCATGATAAGTCTCCGACTCTCTTCCTTGTGAATCTCAGTGAAGACAGCACGAGCGGAGGGAAGAGGGTCCCAACCAAGAATATAACCCCGACATTCGTTGAGGTCCTTGTTAAGGCTGGCTAGGAATTGTAACAAGCGATCCTTTTCTATAAATTTCTGGAAGAGAGAAAGGACGGTCGGAGAATCCCATGTATAGTTGTAGTACAAGTCGCACTCTATCCATAGTGCAACAAGGTCATTAGTATTGAGTCACGACCCTTGAACCCTGTTTTGTCTCCCGAATTTGTTAGACACCTCATAGAGTTAGCCAAAGTTCCTACATCTGAGTAGGTATCGCGGACAACCGTCTAGCTGAAGAGAGAAACATGTATGAAAAACCAATTGACGTTTCGATGGAGTTTGTCAACCATGACATGACCATGGAGTTCTCTGCTTCCCAAGCTCCATAAGTCAGGTCAGTCTTTGGAAGCTCATGAACCATACCTGTGAGGTAACCAAACTTCTCACGTCCTTTGATGAACAACACCGCTTGTGAACATTGAAGAAAGTTTCTGTCGTTCAGTTTATGGGTTGTGATTATGAAATTCATGTTGGTTTCCAATTCTCCGGTCTGCAAGGGAGTGGAAATTGGAGTTGATCCTCCGGTAGAATTAAGAACACCTTTTGAAAGTGGTTCAGAGTAGGAGGAATCCGCCATAATTCCGATTGAGCCTGAGGAGATATTGAGATTTTAATCCATTGATGAACTAGTAGGGTTACAACAAAAGAAAACTGCAGGTAGAAGGAAGGTCGGCTGTTTGTTGGAGCCTGTGGCAGCTAGGATCAAGGCAGGAATGGTACACGATAAGCAGGGATTCGCATACAAATGAATTTTAAAAAACTGTAGAAAGAAAACGACATGAAGAAAACTACAGGTCTGTGGAAAACTAAAGCCTGGAAAAATGGTAGGAAGAATTCTGCAAATTTGAAAAATGTAGATTAAAAACTGTAGATCTGTGGAAATCAACTGGAAGAAGACATGTAGGTGGCCGGCGGCTAAGATGGAACCTGACCCTAATACTATGTTGAATTGGTGATCAAGGCAACATATTTATCATTGATACAAAGAGGGGTATTTAAACCAAATTGCAATGGACTCAAATAAGGAAAGAAATAAAACAAAACAATCAAAGAAATAAAAACAAAATAAAGATAAAAAGGAAACAACATAATGCAGAAATAGGGGAGTTAATAAATTATAATGGCTATGAAACCTAATAAATCTAATAATGACCTGAAACTAAGGCACCTCAACTGTGCTATGTGGTAAACCCTCCATAGTACCATGCAACAGGAAAACATCATTAACACAGAAAATTTCTAAGACTATAATTAAATAACTTATCTGGATCAGGTATTGGCAATCATAAAGTAATTGATAGTCATGTTGAGTTTTGAAAACAAGACAATCTTAGGATGATGTATGAAAACACTAGAAAAGATGGAATAAGAAACAATTATCATAGAGATAGCATGCAGGCAGCATAAAAAGAGATGATATGTATTATTTGAAAATGACAAGTACAAATGAACCTATTAAACAATAAAAAAAAATTAAAAGAAACAAAAACAAGCGATAAGTTACCTGACATTAACAACATTCACAAGGTAAAGATGAGTATTGTGTTGAAGTAATGCAAAACTTTCATCAGCAAGCCCCACATATATGCAATTTTTTACAATGTCATGGAGACCTGCAGCAATATAACAAATCAGTTAAACACAGTGCATTCTTCCCTTAATTTCCATCAAAAGAAAGCTATAATAGATATTACAGTAGGCACCCTACCCACCAGGATGAACTTTAGAATCAATTTCTCGAACAAGCTCCTGGACGCTGGTTAAATCTAAAGCTTCTTTAGGGTTCCTTCTCAGTCGTATAGCATTCCTGTATTATGTGATTAAAATTGAACCACCAGTCTCATAAAGGACTTAGCATCCATAACAGCAGTTTCAATCAATAACAAAGCTAGTACAAAAAAAAAAAAAACATGCAAATATCAGACATTAAAACTACTTATTGCCCCTTACAAGCATCTAGAAGCATTCTTGAAAAAAAATTAGCCACAAAAAATCCAGTTCAGCCTTTTGAGATTGGTTTATCACTCATCATATTGGCATATTGAATTCCCAATTTCATTGCTGTCACATTGTCCCTTGCATGCATCTAGAAGCATTCTTAAAAAAAAAAAAAAAAGCTACAAAAGGTCCAGTTCAGATTTTTAAGATTAACTTCACTCATTATATAAATATATTGAATTCAAAATGTAATCTGGTGTCACATAATATTCAGAAGCACAGAAAAACTTTCAGCTGATGTACTAAAACCAATTACGCACAATTATAATTATGATTCCTTACAGTTTTGCTGATTAAGTTTATTCAACCATGGCAGGTTCTGTTGGGCTGCTTATCATTAAATTCCAGCCTCTCGACATAAAGTTTTTCAATATCAGCATAATACAGTTCAAATTTGCATGTATTTCTCTCAACAACTTAGTGCTTGCATGATTTGAATTCACCTTCTCAATAAACTTCCACAAAATGAATATATTAAAGCATTTATTTTGTGCTACACGAGGCACTAGCTAGTAAAGCAGAATTTGCACTTAATTGAGCTTAAGAAGAGGATCAACCATCCAATAAAGGCAACAAAAGGCGGGAGAAGACCCTTCAAGATTTACACATAAAACCTGCTAGATTGAACTTCTTCCGTTTGGGCCTTGAATTTCTTCAGCCATAAAATGCTTAATTTAATGTATACCCGTCTTGAGTCTACAGCACAAGTTATGAATGATACTGAAAACTAATCATTCTGAGCTAATGATGCACACCATCAAATGACTTAAATGATCCATGTTTGATAGGACAACATTGGCCTTCTAGTTTTTAAAAGAATCAGAATTAAATCAATTAAATAGGATTCATTTAAAGTTAAAAACTACCCAAACCTGAACATAAACTCAAAACAAAACTGAAATAAAAAAACCCCTTGAAACAGCAGGGATGAAAAATCTCACAAGCAAGCTCTAGAACCTCAGGTTATATACAACGACATTGCAAAATATTACATAAATTGAAACTCTGAAAGAATCTAGATGACAAAAAACTTGAAACTTAACATAATAAGTTCAAAGCCAAAGCACTTTAAAATAAAAATATCTATTTAATTTATTTAAGCATCTGGATTGTTAGACAACAAAGAGGACCTTCAAATTCTATGTCACTAGATGACAAGTTAAAACACCCAAAAAAATTAATGATTGTAATGCACAGTACAATCACCAGCTTATTTTTTATATTTTGATGCCTAAATGCCTCTTGGGAATGTAGCTGAATGCTAAAAGTAACATCATACATGCATTTTGATATATGTGCATCATTAACAAGGTAACAAGCAACTTGGATTAATAAGCTACGTGAAGTGGTAACCAACCTAAAAATTAAGGTACTGAAAGTACAAAAAAACTCCTTAAAACTAGCTGTATATTCAAATAAACAAGTTGCATAATGGCTGGATGTTGCATTTGTAAGCAAAAAATAAATTTGGAATGCCAAGTCAAAGAAAAGACATCAAGCTAACTATTTTACCACAAGACAAGCTAAGCTCGTTAAAAATAAGAAAATAGCTTTGACAACATGAAAAAAAAAACTGATTCATGCAATCAATCTTTACCTCACTGAAGCAAGGTCAGAATTTTTTTCATTTTGTGAGCCAGGCTTATCTTGCAAGTAGGCATGCATCCTACCAGAAGGATCACGCCAATCTGTTCTAACCATCTTATTAACTGGAACTTTTTGAGATTTCGCCACTGCAAATTTGACAAACAATACAGAGGTAAAGTACAAGAACATCATCAACAGAGTTTTAACCAGCAATGAAAAGGAAGTGTAAACAACCATGCATACCACTAGAGAAATTCTCCTGGGTGTCTTTTTTCACAACCATATGAGTCATTGCAGTGGAAGTTAACGTCTGTGTGAGCAACAGATGGATTTATTAGACATGGAGAACTTATCGTAAGAGAAGCAACAAAGGAATAACTTTCCATTTAACACCAAAAATAGATCTAGGAAGGAATCGAAAGGAAAAAAAGAAAAAAATCCTTGATCCACTTGGAAAGTTGCAGTGAACGCCTGATAAAGCTGCTGCTAGTGCTGGTAATGAAGATGATACCGTGTTGAACTCATTGTTGTATTAACAGAGGACTTCAGTAAAAAAGATAATGTATGTACTACCAATTAATATTTTTCACGTTTTCCACTTTTTTAAAGCACTTCATAACAGTTGAACTTTAAAAGCTTATACGAAAGTGCATCTTATTGCAACTTCACAGCAAAAAAACCTTTTAAGTTGCACTAATTATCACATTTACTCAGGAAACATAAACACATGAAAGTAAGAATTCATTCAGTTATAAGCTTCACAGTGGATGATTAAGGCGGGTAATAAAATCTCAGTTGCATGACTCACACATCCAAACTATACAATAATGTTGCATTCAAGATTGAGATCACAAAAGATTTTCAAATTAAAATGCTATGTCTGCTGACCTCATTTTTAGTGAGGTCTTAGTCTCCTACTCTTAGAACCTAGAATCTATCTTTAGGAGTTCTTATTAACCATCCTAGCGGACTAGCAATAGAGCCCACCTCCCGTAAAACTTCAAGCCACTTCTTGACTCATTTTTGTGAAGAACTCGCATGAGTGGTTCCAAGCACTCAACTTCTAGTTGCAAGGGCTAAGGACCAACATGTAGAGGGCCCGAAAATGAGTTTCTATAGGATCAAACAGCCTTAGGTGAACCCTTTGTTCACGAACGTCGCAATTCATACACTCACTGCACCACACACGACTTTGACTTGAATCGACTCGTCTGTCGGCAAACTCGTCCGGACGACCCCGGATGACGAAACGGACCGCGCTAACGCGTCCGGAACGTCAACTTTAGCTAGAAAGGACACCCGCATTGTTATGGTTTCGCGCGCGAGCGACTAACATTGATATCGATGCACGTTGATTTTTTTTTTTTTTAATTTGCGGGGCGCGGGCCCGGGGAGGGTAGATCTTTTAGTGGAAAAAGATGCGGGCCCGAACTCAACCCAAGTTCAACTCAGGTTCGATTTGGGCTGGACTCGGGCTGAACAAGGATTAAACAATTTTTGAATTTTAAATTTTTGAATTTCAAATATGACATTTAATCTCTATCTTAATAGAGAGTTAGGATTTTCCAATTGAGGGGTTGCGTGAATGGAAACAAATTAATTCCTCGCCAAAGCTTTCACATAACGGCTCCCTCTCGGATCTTCGGAATCTTCGGTTGGATATAGTAATTGGCCTTCAGAGAGGATTCCTAAAGAGATCATCCTCCCCTGCTCTGCTCTGTTCGATCTCGTCTCCCGCACCGAAGCCTCGTCTTCCCGTCTTCTCGAGCTCGCCTCCCTCCTCTTACTCGACCGAAGGCCCCCGATCGCCTCGCCTCTCTGCAGTGAAGCCAAGCTCGCCTCGCCTTGCCTCTCTGCAGTGCAGCCGAGCTAGCCTCGCCTCGCCTCTCCGCATCAAAGTTCTGCTCGCCCCCTCACGCAGAAGAAATCCGCTCGCCCGACCGGATGGCCCCGCTCGCCTCCTCCCTGCGACGAAGGAGCCCACTCTCCCGCACTCGCCTACTCGATCCCGCCTCCCTTCTCTTCGCGCAAAAGAAACTCCGCTCACCTGCTTCGATCTTCTCTGCACCGAGACTTTTGACTCCTTTCTCTGTCACCTGCTTCGACTCGCTCGACTTCGCCTCTTCACCTCGGCACAGAGATCTTTGCTCGGCTCCTCCCTCACGCACCGAAGCATCATCCTTCGGTTCGACCCCGTCTCTGCACCGAAAGCATTTGTCTCTTCTTCCTCTCGCCCGACTCCTTTCTTTACATTGAAGCACTCACCTGCTCGCCTCTCCTCTGTGCTGAAATACCGAAGCTTGGCTCCCCCTTCTCCAATTTAAGTTGCAACGCTCCCAACTGCTGAAGAGATAAACAGAGGCTTCCAGCGCAGGTAAAAACTCAAAATTCACCCAATTAATTTTTTTTAAAGGATCTGATTGCGAGAAAAGAATCAATCTCTTACCCTTATAAGGTTATCTATATATGATTATTGAAGAGGGGCATGAAACATGAAACATTTCATTTTCAGAAATTATTTTGTTAGCGCCAAGCTTTAATTTTTTTTTTACTAATTAAGTTAACTCATTAACGACACTGCGAATGTTAATTGCTCTACCTTGTGTCATTTGTGGGATGGTTTACTCGGATTTATACAACTGTCTTCTTGCATGGATTCTTGTTTCCTGTTGCTTTCAACATGTTGACATTCATACCTCTAGGAATATGGTTAAAGAGAATTATGCCTCAACACCTTAAATTATTTGTTATTATTTTTCCAAAACTAACTGTGTCTTGCATTGGACGAAGCCTAGTTCAATTTGATTATGTCATAGTGTCTAGATAATGCCTAGTTATGAACTGCTCTGTTTAGGCAAATGTTCTTTTTACAATTGTGTCGTTGGGGGTACAGATATTTATTCTCATGCTTCATAGCTTCTATCATTTCAATTTTGATCAATTTATTGGTTAAGATGATTCAATAATTGTGAACATGCTATTTTGGATGAATTCATACTTCAACTCTTCTTTGGCAACTGGAAGTGAGCATGAATGCATTTAACCCGTGATAGTAAAGGTGATGTGAAGAGTCTTCTTTGATGTGGTTGACATTACTGGTTTCCATTATCAATTTGCTAGAGTTAGCATATTTATCCTCTTCAGTTCTTACATGCCACAAGATTCTGATGCATTTACTTGCTTAACACAAGGATTCCACTTGCATACATATACAACGTCCAGTTCTTATGAGTTTATATGCCCTAAATTTGGAACTTAAATACTTGCATGTGTGACAAAGGAATTCTTCCGCTGCATACTATACATTGTTTGTGGATGGTACATTGTTTGTGGATGGGTTTAAACATAATTTCTTAAGGGCTGGTCTACCTACTGTTTCGGGGGTATTAAACCCATCATTTAGGGGTTGCCCTTGCTCGATTCTTTCACCGTTTTTTGGGAGTCATTTCGGGTGCTGATTTTGGACTGATTTCTTGACCGATTGCCCATTGTTCGGAGCTTTTTGAAAGTGTCATTGTGGGTTGTACTTTTTTTGGTTCCGTGTCGTGGCTTTTGGGCTGCACTTTGTTAATTTATGTGGTGACTTTTTGAGCTTTATTTTATTTTTTTAGTCTGAATTGTGGAACATTCGAACCGATCAAAACACTATTTTGGAACAGATTTAAGCACTCTTCTTGAGAGTCTATTTAATTACAGTTGCTGAAAGACTCTGAAAGACTTTTAACGCTTAGACTTTTAATGCTTTTAGGTTGATTCACTTGTTATTTCCCCATTTGATTTGTTAGTTTTGGAAGTGGGTTAACCTTTTCTTTTCGTTTGTTTTGTTGCTTTTGTTAAATAGTCAAGTCAAAAAATGGAAATTTCTGATTTAATTATTTGGAAAACACTTATTTGAGGGTGAAATGCCTTAAATCACTTTAAGCGCAAGTTAAAACGTAGACTTCTAGATTTTAGGAGCACACCCTAGGTGAGAGTCCATCCACCTAATCTTCAGCATAGTTTTCCTAGATTTTAGGAGCACACCCTAGGTGAGAGTAATTTAGGGTAGAATGCCTAAATCACTTTAAGCACATGTTAAAGTATAGGCTTCTAGATTTTGTGTGAGAGCCCATCCACCTAATCCATCCACCTAATTCTCAGTATAGACTTTCTAGAGCTTAAGTGCACACCCTAGGTGAGAGCTCATCCACCTAATCCTCAGTGTAGGTTTCCTAGACTTTAGGAGCACAGTCTAGGTGAGAGCTCATCTACCTAATCTCTGCAGTGTAACCTCTTAAGGTTTTAGGAGCATACGCTAGGTAAGAGTCTATTCACATAATCCTCGAATGCACAGTGAAACTAGACACTTGACCCTAATTCACAAACTGACTAAGACATTAGACATGATGCACCAAGACGTGACCCATGCTTCCTTAATTAAATCAACAGTGAAATTCCCTCAATGACTTAACCTACAAAAAAACCTAGTGCACCGGGATTTGAGCTTAGATATTACACTCAAATTCTCCTGACAATTGGGGAAATTTGTTAATGCCACATATGGATCATCGGACTAGGATAAGTCTAGGGTCTAAGTGGCAAGAGCAATGACGACATTGTCTATGTGTGCTTAAATGAAGGATACAAAGTGAGATTATTAGAATAGTATCTCCTACCTCAAGGATCTTCTATAAGAGAGAGAAAAGGATCGATGATGCTATTTGCCGACTCTTGGTGGGATCGTTGCCCCCGACACTCTTAGGTTGTCAGTAGTTCTAACACGATTAGAGTGACCAGCCTGTGGACTATACGACTTTACAAAATATTTACGAAAATAAAACAAAATCCCTTTTGCATGTTTAAAAAAACTGCATAAAAAAGACTTAAACAACCGCTTTTGCATAAAAATCAAATAATTTTTCTATGAAAATTTATAAAAGTTCATGGTTAGTCATTTGGATTGAGGTTAAGAACTACCTCCTGTAGATTGTCGAGTTGACAACTCTTACTCAAGATCGGGAAGCACACATCCCAGCTCTGAGCCCCCACTTTTACCAATATCTTATACTCAGTCCTGATCTTTCATATGTGGCTAAGAGTTTCTTTTATCGGGATTTTTTTTACAACTCATTTTTCTGACTTTTGCGTTGGGTTTTCTCGCCTTGTTTAATTTTCTTACAAGTTTATTTAAATCTACTGCAAATCATACTATGCTCGCAACATTAATAACGCAACAATAGCAGATGCCCAGGTACGCTTTTACAGTTTATTTACAGCATTTTACGTTACTGTATTTTACCTTTCAAGTACTTTTTATTTACCTGTAATTTG